GAGGGAAGGGGGCCACCTCTCTCGTTTTAGCCATCCCATGCAGAAAGGAGATGCAGAGGATTGGATGGGGACTGTGACAAGCGCAGGCCTACTTTCTAGATAGTGAAAGTTTTCCTTATTGGGTGAGTTATACCCCATCTGATGAACCACCCAGAAGTTTGTGCTGCGGTGAGATCCCATGTTCTCTTTCCCAGCGCAGGCGGTTGGGTTGGCGGAAACTTTCCAAGTGCCAAGCCACCATGTCAATGTGGGGTCCACGCCTAAGACGCCAGGTAAGCGGGGTTTCATCCAATGGCCAAGATGCCATTTGGTGAGAAACTTGTGTTTGGAGGTGCGCATACCTCTCAAATCTAGAAAAAAAAAAAAAAAAGAAACTCCAGAAGTGGTTTCCCTGGCGATAAGGCGCAGGTCCCACTGGTGCTATGTTCACGCATGGCGACGGAAAGTCTGAATTTCATGGTTATTATATTCACCAGGGTTGTAATTTTTCGAATCAAGTTCAAGCTTCCACTTGCGGGAGGTGAGAAGACCAAATTTCTTCAGATTCAGATTTTTTAGAAAACCAGCGAGGTGGCAACATCAGAGCGACTCCACTGACCTGAAGGTTTTCCCACTGGCTGCTTTGGTTTTCCCCAAACTTTGGGATTTGTCCAGACATAAAATGACTGAACCAAATAGTGAACCCAGCCCTAGTGTGGCTGAATGGTACACACACGTGATTGTTAGTAAACAGAAGATGACTGTGAAATTGTGTGAATCCCTTTTTTTTTTTTTTTTTTTTTTTTTTTTTTTTTTAATATCGCAAACAACCCGATCTGATGCTAGGGGTGTTGGGGAGAGCAGACACCACTGGTAGCATTACCAGGGAGTGCTCCTCCATCTATTGGTGGGGAGCAGCACCTGCTGGAAAGCAGGTCCAGCGTCCCTCTGAACATTAGGAGTTTTTATTTGAACATACGAGACTCAGTGGGTGTAATGACAACAAGTTGCAGGATCCACCTGTAGTAACTGGACTTTGGCAGGTAGACGTGTACAGTAGCCTGTGTTGATTGCCTACATGGTAGCTTGAGGTTGGTGGCCCGCTTCTGATGGAGCTGGAATCAGGTTCCAGGGCAGGTAGACCTGTACAGTAGCCTGTGTTGATTGCCTACATGGTAGCTTGAGGTTGGTGGCCCACTTCTGATCGAGCTGGAATCAGGTTCCAGGTTGAATTCTGTCTCTCCCATGACCCAGTATACCACCCTCTATTGTCTCAGACGTTTAGTCTGGTACTACCACCTAGGATTGACTCCGAGAACATGTAGGCAAGCAAACCTCCCGTTTGCCAACCCGCACCCTTGAGAAGTTCATCTGAGTATCGCATCAGCTGTCCGCATCTACAATCCTGTATGCAACTATAGTCCAGCAGTGCCTTGACTGTGTGCATCTTCCGTCCCGTGTACAGCTATAACCCAGGTGATGGTATCGGAAACTGCTAGAGTGTGTGCACTGAGTACTGCTGAGCTGTGCCCGATGTGTCTGTCCTTGTAGAGTTGGAGTTCTCCATGTCCACCCAGATTCAGGTTCTCCCTGTTCTGTTTCCATCCCGCTGGTCCTGGTGATCTCCTTGGATGCTCTCTGTCCTTCAGAGTCTGGTGACTCTGCTAGTCATTTACAGCATCATCTGTATGCTTCTACAGTCCTGTATACAACTATAGCCCAGCACTGCCTTAATTGCAGGCATCTACAGTTGGGTACTGTTGAGCTGTGCCCACTCCATGTGTCCTTGTAGATCTGGGACGATACAGATCAACACATTAAAGTTGGGGGCGACACCCCTTTAAAAAGGAAAAAGAATGGAAGTGCTCCACCGACTCCAGTTGCAGCAGGCCTCTATCTGTCCTGGCCTACAGCCAGGGCTATTTGGCTATTTGTCGATTCGGCCCGTGGGACCAGGCCGTGGCCCGATCCCACAGGTCGTGTGTTTAGTCAGTACAGTCCTGTCCGCTACCACAGTCGGTACCAGTCCAGTCCCGTCAGTCCGCTGGGCGGCCGCTACCACAGTCAGTACCAGTGCAGTTCCGTCAGTCCGCTGGGCGGCTGGGGGTATACCCCCGCTGCAGTCTATATCTTCATTCGTTCTTCATTTGCGCATTTTGGAGTGTGTGCGTGCTGAGTCCGCGTCGGAGCTGCACTGTCCCTTCCAGCTTTACCGCCATTTCCCTCATCCTCATACTGACGAACTGCCATCACGACGGGTCCGTCACACTGGTATCAAAGCGAGAACGTTCCCCGCTCCCACCCGTCCCAACTCCTGAAGGAGCCAGCGACGGGCAAATCCTACTTTCAGCGTTGTGGAGCGCATACAATGGAAAACGATGGGAAGTTGCAGCGTCGTCGCAGGAGAGAAGGACATGTGTCAGGGAAAACGATTGTGACACGTGGCCACACGTACCTCGCTCCCGGATTATATGTATGTCAAGATATGGGATGCAACTGCCAGGATTTTGAACCTGGGCAGCTGCTGGCCATGTGTGTGCGTAGCTAGTGACTTAACAGACTGGCCAAACTCTATCTATGAATTCGTAGCGTGACACGTTGATGTTGAAGATGCCATGCCAGTTATTTACGCCCCTTCCCCTCCCCCCCCCTGGTCCACCACCCCCCGTTGACGAGCAGCGAGCGGCAGAGCAGCAGTGGGGGACTGCTATTTGCATCCCCTCCCCCTCCTTCTCCCCCTCCCCCCCCCCCCCCCCCCCCCCCCCCCCCCCCCCGGCAAGAGCGGGGGGCAGGAATGAGCCGGGGGGCGTCCCTTTTTCCCCCCCCCCCCCCCCCCCCCCCCCCCCCCCCCCCCCCCCTTCCCTTGTCGACGAGCAGCAAGCGGCAGCGGGTGGAAGGCTTGAAGACCCCCTTGGCCAGCTCCAGATTATTATCATTTTTTTTTTCACTGTTGCAGCAGCAGTTTGGCACCAGCTGGAGACCCCCTTGGCTACAGGGTTGCGTCACAGTGATATCTGGGTGGCTGATCAAGATCTCAGCGTGCCCCATATATCATTACCTGCAGACCTGATCTAAAGGATCAGATCTACTGCTGCAGCAGCAACTTGGCATCATCTTGAAGGCCAAGTTCCTATAGATATTGGTGATATTTTTTGCTTTTGGCCACCCAAGAGCTTGGTATCACCCCCTACTAACTAATCAACTTTCCCCCAACCCTTTTTCTTTTCTCCCGTCCCTACTCTAATCATCTTTTTCTAATTCCCCTACTAATTCATCACCTCTTCGCATTGTTCTCTCCTCTACTCTTCACTTCTCTTCCCTTCTTTCCCTTGACTTCTTCTTTCGTCCCCCCCCTGATGGTTATTATTTGACTTTTCCTGTCTGGCGTTCTATTTTTTGCCCTGCTTATTTTGACCTTTGTGGCGAAACTTCATTGGACAGTTTGGGTCACCGACGTAATGGTAAAATCGTCTACAGTCAGCACATCATGGAGTATCAGCGCCCACCACCACGATTTTTGCAAAGCCATGCTCCCCCATGTCTACTACCAAAACATGGCTTCAAACGGAGTCTCGCGGACGGCGTCAAGTCAAAACGCACATTTTGAAGTTCCAGGCAGCCGGTGGGCTCAACACCATATCCTCTGTTTCTCCGAGTCAGGCATTGGAGGAGAGGAGTTAGGGGGTGGTGGAGGAGGTGCGGCGGAGGAGGAGGCTCCATTGGCTCCCGCCATAGAGGTCCATCCTTTGCGACCACCTTCTCTTTCACATGTTCAAAACAACTAAACTAGACCACAAGCCTATAACAGAAGGAAGTCAACCATAAAACCAGGAATAAAGCATAAAACCAAAATGGACATTTAGTTTACAAGTATGTAATTAAGAGGCATAAATAAACTGGGA